CTCGTTGCCTCCTGAAATGTTTTATATGCTGGTTCTAACTATGTAAACCATGTTTATTATTATTATGATTAGTATGTCAAAATATAGTAGTAGTAGCAAATATTCACATAGAAGCTTGAACCAAAGCATTTTGGGGAATTCTATAAAATATTGTTTCAGTTTTATTTTACACTTATTTTTTGAACGTATTAAACAATGAGAATCTTTATACTAAGTCTTTAAGTTTATGCTAAGCTACGTAGCTGGTGGTGGTAGCTCATATCTTCTGCACAAACATGAGACTGCTATCAATTCTCAGCAAGAAAGCTAGTTAGTGTATTTCCCAAAATATTATGTTAAGGGGCAGAATACTTCCAAATAAAAGCCACAGTCAGAAAGTAAAGTTACTGCGGTCCACAGGTTAACACAAGTCAATTTTGTATGTGAATTAACTTTAATAGACAACTTTCCAAATATCAGGCACAAGTATTTTCCAAGCAGAACTAAATCAACTACTTTATCCTGTATTCCAGTTATTATTTGTATTGCTTAAAATGGCCACTGTGGTGTTTGTCGCATGCCGCATTGTTTTGTAAAAAATAACTTTCCTACCACAGACCAAATGTTGCACTAAAACTCCACCTAACTCACATTTCAGGTTGACTAACAAACTAACAAATATTTAAAATTTTTGATATCTTGACCCAGGTCTTCCCCCAAGCTATGTTTTAACAATGCAATGCTTGGTCTTAGTTTTTGACTTTTTCAAAGGGAGCGCAAATCATGATAAAACCTCAAATCTTCTACTTTTCACAGTACCATTTCCATTCAGTCTCAGCTGAAAAATTACCCTTCACCACACACACACACACACTTAGACACAGTAATAATTAACTCAGAGTTCTGGCTGGGCTCCAGTGTGTCCCTAAATGGCCCCATTCATGTAAATCATTCCTGCCTACAGGCCAGTCTGGGCACACACTGATAAGCAGCGCTACGCTGTGCCCCTGCACTCACCTACTGTGCATCCTTTCAATAGTAAAGATTCCCATACATAAACATTGGCAATACATATTTACTATAGATAATATTGATTCTTAATGAGAAGAATAAAAACATTTATTAGTGTGGTTTCAGCTTGTACAAAACAAGCAACTCATTAAACTTCTGTATAGATCGGATTTCATATGACTGATGCACTTTGCTTATTTTGAGAATATATAACCTTAACGTCTTACACATTATGTCAACTTTTAATATGGTTAACTAACTATAATTGATTAGCAAGAATAAGACACACAAGAGCCCATTCACTCTACAGCAGGAAAACTCTGTTGACACACAGTTAAAGAATACTTGAATAGACCTTTTTCTCACAGTACAGGGTTTTGTGCATTGTATCAGACTGGAATATCCAAAAGCAGACGCACACGCGCGCACACACGCACACACAGATGAGCGTGGATGTACACACTGACCTGACGGCAGAGTCAAGAGAGGAACCAGCAGACTCTGAGGTGACTGTGGGAACAAGGCCTTCAAAGATACACTCGTCTGAAACGACACAAATCACAAATTTCACAAATGTAAATCATTCTTACCTTGAACCTAATACATACACACTGTGCACCAAAACCCTGAAAAATGACATTTTGAATGGACGCTGTGTAACAGTTATACAGTAGGTGCTAATGTGTAATGTAGCATGTAATAGGTAGCGTTTAGAGCAGTATGACTACAGCCATTAAAACTGGGTCCACTGTAAGCATACTAGCACTGCCATCTACTGGTTAATAGAGGTGAAAGCTAGTTAAGCTGTATTCACAAAACTGTGCAGCAGGTAATACATCACATCTTCACCATAACACATGTGTTTTCTAGCCTTTCGACTGTAATGGCTGCAATGTAAGTGAAAATTCACAACAGTCACACAGGCTAGGCAACAACAGACTGAAGTTTATCTGGGAGAATCAGTGGAGGCTAAGAGTTTTGGCAAAAGTTGAAAAGTACATAGTGACACATCAGTGTAACAGTTCACAGTGGTTTTCACACATTGCAGGTGTTTTATTCGTACAAAGCTATTACCTGCAAATTGATGATTTAAGAGCGATTTGCATCTATTGTAGACAAGGCAGAGGTGTGTACCGCAGTGCGAGTAGTGTGTAAGCAGCGAGGTCCCAGCTGGAGATAAAGTGATAATGATGTGGAGGATTCATCAAATGTTAACTGAATTTGCCTGCAGAGGGGAGGTAATTGTTCATCGCCCTGTGCGTGCATCTAAACCGGTGTCATGACAGCAATCATCATTTTATTTCCAGCAAAGATGGTGTATAAGCATAAGCGGACGACTGTTGTAGATTTAAGAATATGTTGCTGAAGGTGAAGTTCTCGTCTTTTGTGGCACTAAAGGAGGAAAATGTTTAAATTCATCCACCAAAGTTATCAGTAGTACCATTAAAACTGCAGCATCCTGATACAAACAGCTGTCTTAGCTGTTTATAACCTCACTGGTTATATTATATATCTTCAATATTGGGATTTCATCACTTTAAAAGACCTATCAATGCAAGCAAAAAATGTGGAGAGTGGTGACAAGAAAACATGGATTTTTGTCTCTTCCCACAATAATCAATAAATGAGACTTTTAAAGTTCTAATATGAATTATTTTTAACCTAATATTTAAAAAAATAGAGCTGTAAAGAACAGTTGATTAACTGATTAGTCAATGGACATAACATGTATCTGCAACAATTCTGATAATTGACTATTTACCTGTCATTTTTCAAACACAATACAGAAATTCACTTTGCCCAGCCAACTTTTCCTTATATAACTTAATAGTAAATATCTTTCGTTTTTTGGACTGTTGGTCAGACAAAACAAGCTATTTGAATATGTAACTTGATCTTTGTCAAGAGATTAATCAAAACAAGAAAAAATAATGACAAGATTAACTGATAATGAAAATAATCGTTACAGGCCTAAAAGACACAAACATTTACGTCAGACTTTCAGACCTTCTTACCTGATGCTGCAGCAGTGCCAGTTCCCCGAGGAAACAGCTGGTAAAGCTTTGGATAAGATACTTAACAGATTCGGCCCCGTCAGCTTGCTTAAGGATGGACCTGTTGGACACACACAGACGCATGATTACGACGTACTGCATCGCAACAGAATTTGCAAATAAACTGACAGAAACACACACTTACATCATCCAAAAACACAACACTCACACATCAACCTCAAAACGGCAAACCAGCTCTCACCTGAAGATGTCGTTTACAACCAAGAATATGGAGCAGTGCTGAGCACAGGCTTTAGGCTGAAACACACAGAAACACATTTTATAAAGTCTGTAAAATCATGCTGCTTCAAGGATAATAAAAAACCACCTCCATTATATAATAACCAATTCAACAATACACAAACGTTTACCCCCAAATACTGACCACTGGGTGTCACCATTGCATCATCTACAAACCTCCCTGCCGTGAAGCTTCAGTTCCTCCCTGTTCTCACTCTCTGCCCACTAACCACTCAGTTTACCACTCTGTCAGTCCTTCCTTCACACACCCATTTACTCTCTCATCTCTGCCTAATGCACACTCATCATGTGTTTTAGATTTAACACATTCTAAAACGCCCCAGCGCAAACATTTAACAGCTGTACTGTTCATGTCTGCCTCTCTCACCATCTTTATATATCTTCTAGTCCCTAATTAACACACAAGCACGCACGCACGCACACGCGGCACACACACACACAAACAGCTATTAGGGAAGCACATAATCACCTTACAG